GCACAATCTCCGCTCACTACACCCTCCACCTCCTGGGTTCAAGGAATTCTCCTGTCTTAGCCTCTGGAGTAGCTGGGACTACAGGCACACGCCACCATACCCATCTAATTTTTGTATTTTTAGTAGAGACAGGATTTTACCATATTGGTCAGGCTGGTCTCAAACTCCTAACCTCAGGTGACCAACCCGCCTTGGCCTCCCAAAGTGCTGGGATTATGGGCGTGAGCTAGCGTGCCCAGCCTGGGATCTACTCTTAAGCAACAGAGAAAATCAGTCATTTTTCCCTTTTCCCTTCCCTTCCTCCTGTGAGCAGAATCTTGGTAAGAAGAGTCTACAAAGGAGATTTGACAGCATAGCAGTTCAAACTAAAAGTGGTCTGATAGTTCAGAGTCAAGTTTCTTCACTAAAACTGAGAGGATTTTTTTGTTTGTTTCTTTGTTTTGTCTGTTTTGTACGTGAGACGAAGTATCACTCTTTGTGCCCAGGCTGGAGTGCAGTGGCGTGAACTCGACTCACTGCCGCTTCCATCTCCCGGTTCAAGTGATTCTCCTACCTCAGCCTCCTGAGTAGCTGGGATTACAGGCGCATGCCACCACACCCAGCTAATTTTTGTATTTTTAGTAGAGTCAGGCTTTTACCATATTGGGCAGGCCTGTCTCGAACTCTTGACCTCAGATTATCTGCCAGCCTCGGCCTACCAGAGTGCTGGGATTACAGGTGTAAGCCACCATACCCAGCCTAAAGCTGAGTTTTTAGAGTACTTGGAGAATAATTTAATGAGGGGTTGTGGAGGACCACAAAAAAGACAACTAAAAAAAGGCATAACAAAGTCAATTTGTTAAATGCTCAGCAACAGGGTGAGGTTAAGGGGAATGGCAGAATAAGGACCAACAAATAGCTGCTCCTTCATAAAAGCAAAGAGAACACTAGCAAAAACTATAAAAATCACATTCTTCGAATCCTGGAAATTAACAAAAGGTTGTGAAAAATCAAAAAATTTTAGTGCAAAATGGTTTGGCAGTTCCTCAGAATGTTAAACATAGACTTATGATCCTACAAATCTACTTCTAAATATATACTAAAAGAAATAAAGGTACTCAAGTACATGTATACGTGTTTATAGCAGCAATTCAATAATAACCAAAAGGTGGAAACAACCTAAATGTACATCAATGGATGAATGCATAAACAAATCATGGTATATATATACAATAGAATGTTTATTCAGCCATAAACAATATACATGCTACAACATGGTTTTTAAACCCTAAAAACTGACCATGTGAAAGAAGTCAGGCACAAAAGCTCACATATTGTATGATTTCATTTATAGGAAATATCAGAAATAGATAAATCCATTGATATTAAACAAAGATTTGTGGTTGCCAGAAGATAGGGAAGGAGAAATGATAAGAAATTGTTTAATGGGTAAAGGGGTTTTATTTGGAATGATGGAAATATATCAGAACTAGATAGAGGCAGCACACGTACAATATTATGAATACACTAAATGTCACTAAATTGTTTACTTTAAAATGACGGATTTTATGCTATATGACTTTCACCTCAATGAATTATTTCTTAAAAATAAAGAGGGTATATTACAGAAATAAAGAGAATTATAAAGGAATACTATGAAAAATTATCTGCCAACAAATTAGATAACCTAGATGAAACAAATTCCTAGAAAGACAAGAACTAATGAACTGAGTCAAGAACAGAAAATATGAATGGATCCAAACAAGAGATAGAGTTAGTAATCAAAAAACTTCCCAAAATAGAAGCCCAAAATCAGACAGCTATGCTAGTAAATTCTTAATATTATAAAAACAATTTACACCAATCCTTCATAAACTCTTCCAAAAATTAGAATTTTTGGAATTCCCAAGTTTTCTGTCTGGAGGACAGAAAACTTTGCACATCATTCTATAAGGTTAGTTACTACTGATACCAAAATCAAACCAAGAAATCATACGAAAAAGAAAACTACAGGCCAATATCCCTTATAGAGGCAAAAATCTCAACAAATGTTAGCAAACAAAATCTAACAACATATATAATGATTACATACCATGACCAAGTGGGATTTATTTTAAAAATACAAGGTTGGTTCATTCTATGAATATCAACCAACATTATATCATTTTAATAAAGGACAAAACCCACACCTGTCTATAGAAAAAAACACTTGACAAAAGCTAACATCCTTTTATGATTTGAAACAAAAAACAAAACGACTAGGAATAGAAGGGAACTTTCTCCACCAGACAAAGGCATCTGTATCAGACGCACAGCTATTAAAATATCATACTTAATGGTGAGACCGAAAGCTCCCCTGTCCTAAGATCAGGAACAAGACAGATGTTCACTTTCACCACTTCAATTCAACACTGTACTGGAGGTTCTACAGCCAAGCTAATTAGGCAAGAAAATGAAGCAAAAAGCATTCAGATTGGAAAGGAAGAAGTAAAACTATAATGGAGATGACAAATACAAGTAACTCAATTTTTTAAAAGGCAAAGAATTTGAATAGACATTTCTCCAAAGATGATATACAAAAGACCAAGTAAATATGTTCAGCGTCATTAATCATAAAATAAATGCACATTAAACTCATCATGAGATACCACTGCACACCTATTAGGACAGCAACTATTAAAAAAAAATTGTTGGAAAGAAATTAGAATCTTCACGCACGGTTACGGGATTATAAAATGGTCTGACTACTATGGAAAATGGTACAGAAGTGCCTCATTTTATCACTCTTACTTCTGGGTATACGTCTAAAAGAATCTGAAAAGAGGGTCTTGAAGAGTTATTGGCACACCCATGTTCACAGAAGGACAATTAAAATAGCCAAGAGGTAGAAGCAACCCAAACATCTATCCAAAAATGAATGAATAAACAAAATATAATATATATATACAATGGAATACTACTCAACCTTAAAAAGGAAGAAAATCCTGTCACATGCTACATGTTTGAACCTTGAGGATATTATGCTAAATAAAACAGAGCAGTGACAAAAAGACAAATATTCTTATATTTATATGATTCTGCCTGCATGAGGTAACTAAAATACTCAATAGAAACAGAAGGTAGGGGCCAGGAGCAGTGGCTTACGCATGTAATCCCAGCAATTTGGGAGGCCAAGATGGGCAGATCACCTGAGGTCAGGAGTTCGAGATCAGTTTGGCCAACATGGCAAAACTCTTTCTCTACTAAAAATATAAAAATTAGCCAGTTATGGTGGCGGGCACCTGTAAACCCAGCTACTCGGGAGGTTGAGGCAGGAGAATCACTTGAACCCAGGAGGTGGAGGTTGCAGTGAGCCGAGATCACACCTTTGTACTCCAGCTGAGCAACAAAAGAGAAACCCCGTCTCAAAAAAAAAAAAAAAAAAAAAAAAAAAAAAATTAGCCAGGTGTGGTGGCACATGCCTATAGTCCCAGCTACTCAGGAAGCTGAGGCAGGAGAATCTTTTGAGCCCAGGAGGCAGAAGTTGCAATGAGCAGAGATCACACCACTGCCCTCCAGCCTGGACAACAGACCAAGACTCCATCTCAAAAAACCAAACCAAAACAAAACAAAACAGTAATGGTTAGCAAGGGCTAGGGGCAGAGGAAAGGGGTGAGTCAATTGTTTAATTGGCACTGTTTCAGTTTTGCAAGATGACTACTAGAGATCTGCTTCACATCAATGCAAATACACTTGAAACTACTGGATTCTTCATTTTAAAATGGTTAAGGTGGTAAATTGAATGCATTTTTACCACAATAAAACAATTCATTTTAAAAACAGGCCCCAGCCGGACACAGTGGCTCACTCCTATAATCCCAATATTTTGGGAGCCAAGGTGGGTGAATCAGTTATGGTCAGGACTTGGAGACCGGCCTGGCCAACATGGCAAAACCCTGTCTCTACTAAAAATACAAAAATTAGCTAGGCACAGTTGCGCACACCTGTAGTCAAAGCTAC